CCTCCCGGGTTCATGCCATTCTCCTGCCTCAGCCTCCCGAGTAGCTGGGACTACAGGCGCCCGCCACCACACCCGGCTAATTTTTTGTATTTTTAGTAGAGACGGGGTTTCACCGTGTTAGCCAGGATAGTCTCGATCTCCTGACCTCATGATCTGCCTGTCTCAGCCTCCCAAAGTGCTGGGATTACAGGTGTGAGCCACCGCGCCCAGCACTTCCCTCTTATTCAGTCTTCCCCATTACACTTCTTTAAAGATGAAGAGGCATGTTTCTAGCCTCTGGGCCTTTAAACCTACTATTCCTTTTGTCTAGAACTCTCTTCTTCCAGATACCTGTTCTCCTCTTCACCTCTCTAAAATCTTTGTTTAAATATCCCCCTTCCAATTAGGCAATCCCTGCCTGCCTTATTTTAAATTGCAATCTTCTTCCCTGTTGTTTCTCACCTTCTAATTTAAGACACAATTACTTATTTTGCTTACTGTCTATCTTCCTACATCAGAATGTAAGCTTTTGAGGACAAGAGTTTTTGGGTATTTTTGGTCACTGCAGTATCCTCAATAGGAGGCACATGATATATATTTGTTGAATGAATAATATGTTTAGTGTAGTACTTGGTATATACTAGTTGATAATAGGTATACAAAAACATTAGGCTCCTTTCTATTGGTATTATATAGATTAACTTAGACCTTTAGAATTCTCACTAATTGAAATCTGTCTTCGGATCTATATGTTTTGTTTGGAGTTATTTTTAGCCTGACTCCGGGCATCTGTGCTTGTCACTAGTATAATCTTAGTGCACTAATCCATAGTAATGATGGACAGACTTGAGCATCATTAGATACTGATGGATCTCACTGTGTTCCATTTGGTGTATTTACATGGCTGTGTCTACCAAAAAACGTCATTCAGGTCTCAGATAAAATGTCATCTCCTAAAAGGTGGTATCTCAGCACTCTTTTTAATACCATCACTTTCTCAATTCTTCCTACCCCATCCCCATCACTCCCTTGGACATTAGTCTGTTTCTATATGTAACAATTTTCATTACCTGAAACGGGCATGTTCATTTGTTGGTTTACTTGTCTATCTCCCCAAAGTGAGTGGACGCTTCATAACAAAGAATCATCTGATCTCAGATGTCAATAGTGTCGAGGTTGAAAAACTCTGACTTACCTGTTTCTAGATTTACAGGTCATGTTGAAGTCTCTAGAGAAAGCAAGATATTAGCCTGCCTTTGTGGTACTGATAAAATGCAACTCCTGACCCATCCCCTCCAGCTCCTCTCCTTGATCAACATGACAGCACATCTTTTCAGTTATAGGTTTCTAATCACCCTTGCCTTTCATGAAGTCATTCTTCACATCATTGTAGCCTGGTGTGCATTACCTGCTGCTCATGGAGAACCACTTGACCTTTGAGAGGACTTCCCAGCGGTGCCACTGTCATAAAAGGGTGCCAAATGCCATTGGCTGTTCTTGGGAAGATATCAAACAAGTCCACAAAGAAGCCACTTTCCCCAGTCATATGCATAAAGTACAGGGAAGCAGGATTGCATGTAACGACATAGAGAGTATTTTGCTCATTTTCTGAAATGACAAAAAGGTGTTAATTTTGTGGCTGACAACCAATTTTCTAATTGGCCAAGAGGTCTAGTGAAAACTGAATCATGAATACACAGCTGGAACATGGAGTTGGAACTCAGCAGATGATTTGTATCATGGCTTGATTAGGCTGAAAAGACCATGACAAGCAACTTAGTTTCGACCCTAAATGTAGATAGGGTCACAACTATCTATCTGAAAAAAATTGATTGTCTATTTGTTCCCCAAAGAATGTCATAATATCTTGTGATAAAACCATTAAATATTAAACAATCCTCGATGTCAGGAAATTCTTCTTTGTATGACAGTAACATGCTTAGTGCTACAGTGAAGGTCTGTTCTCTTGTTGGTTCAGATGGACACCAGTTGGTCAACATCTTCTATCTGCTAATCTTGCATTTTCCAGACAGTTACTAGCTCTTTAAGATTTTCTAGCTGTAAATAAGTAATTCCATTTAAAAAATCTTAGCTCTATGGATCTTATTTTCCAAACTTTTGTTCATATTTGAGTATTTCTTACTGTAAAATCTCTGTCTTTTCAATCTGGGTACATAAGTCCATTTCCTTCCATTTGAAGAAGTCAGTGCTTCTTCAAATTTCAAGTGCCTATGAATCACCTGGGGATCTAATAAAACTGCAGACTTCAGGAGGTTTGGGGTGTGGTTTCAGATTCTGCCTTTCCAACAAATTTCCAGGAGAGGCTAATGCTGCTGGTTTGAGGTCCTCCCTTTTGAGTAGCCAGGCTCTGGACTAAGTTTCTCATAATCTCTTATGTGGGAACCGTTGAAGCAAGGGATTAAGCTACTTTTGCATAATAAATGGTATCAGCATCACCTATCACCCAGGTATCTATTTTACAGTGGTCATATTTTCCAAACCCCAAATTAAGACGAGATATGACAATAAGATACGTCATTTAAATTTGGGACTATATCACGCCTGTAATCTCAGCACTTTGGGAGGCCGAGGTGGGTGGATCACGAGGTCAGGAGATTGAGACCATCCTGGCTAACACAGTGAAACCCCGTCTCTACTAAAAATACAAAAAAATTAGCCAGGCGTGGTGGCGGGCGCTTGTAGTCCCAGCTATTCAGGAGGTTGAGGCAGGAGAATGGCGTAAACCTGGGAGGTGGAGCTTGCAGTGAGCCGAGATTGTGCCACTGCACTCCAGCCTGGGCTACAGAGCCAGACTCTGTCTCAAAAAAAAAAAAAAAAAAAAAAAAAAAATTGGGACTACCCTGAAAAATCGGGAACACATGTGTGTCTATGTGCGTGCATGTGTACCATATCTATATATTATATATAATGACATATTATACATATCACACATATTATATATAAAGATACAGTAAATTTAAATAAATAAGCTAACTGATAAGAAACACAAGTCAACAGAAGGACTGAAAAAGACACACTTTTTTAGTAGATGATGCAAACTGTAGATGTTACAGTGTCAATTATCAGAACCCCAGAATTTATAATTCATGGATCTTTTATAATGCTTCCATTATCAACACAAATAAGTTCTAGTCAACATTTATTGAGCATCTTCCTGCGTAATATAGGGCACTGGGAATATAGTAAAAGTGTTAACAGAAATGTCCTGAATAAACTCATTAACTATTTTCTCTTTTTGCAGGCATTAAATTCAGTTCAGTCTCTGTCTTAAACATACAGATACCAGATTGACATTTATCTTTTACCAATTTTAAAAAACTGTATATTTTTAAAAGCACGTTATTTTTATTTAAAATGGCAGATTTGTAGAATAAACTATATCAATAGAACTTATAGGCAAAAAAACAAGATACCAATTTTTGCCTCAACAATTCTCATCTTAGTCAAGTTAGAGACTCTCTCCCTTCCCCCAGCCACCACTTCTGTTTATATCACCTTAGTAACTGACAGCAGTTGAGGAACTTCTGCCAAAATGTACCCAGGGCCCACTGCATGAATCAGTAGGTAATGGCAACAGTCCAGAAGTGTGGATGCCAAAAATTCACATTCTTTATTTGCCATCCTTTACAATTAGAAGTTTAATGACTGCAAATCACTCCAGCCCTACTTTCATGGTTCACGTAATCACCAAACTGGAATCCGAGCCAAAAAACCCAATGTTTTTCCTTTTTATTTTTCCCTTCTATTTTTAGCACATGCCTGGGTGTGTTTAACTTTGTGCTACAATTGTAATGAGAAACAGACATATGCATACAAACTCAGCAGTGCTTATGTGGATTCCGCAATAGCATTTTGTTAGGTTGTTAGAGGAAATTAGTTCTAAATTACATATAATTGCTATCCAATCCAAGAATGACAGACACCAAGTCTATCATAAACTTTTTGATGTCTAGAGATTATTTTAATCCCTCCTTTAAAAAACATATGCAGTAAGGAAAGATCAAAAGAATAAGCGGACATACCATGTGATGTAGCAATGTCACAGATTATATTAACTTCATTCAGTGGTATTCTCCAGGAGGCACATTCTTCAGTAAAGTTTAGGGATCTTTCTTCATGTCTTTCTATTGGATACTCCTGTATATTTATAAGTGCTGGACCCTATAATAAAGCAGTTATCTCAGTTAAGACATTTTGGTTGTCACCAAAATGTAGAAAAGCTAAAGTTCTTCCAAAATATAAACTTTAAATTCAAGTATTTAATATCCTGCTGTCTCTTTTTTCAATTTATTGATAGGCTTAGTACTCATAACAATAATAATCATACATTTGCATTTATAAATGCTTTCACATACGCTATCTTATTTAATTTCTCACTTTTTCTTTTCACTCACAAAATATACCAGATGTAAAATCCCATAGCATTTCCATTCCTTCATTCCTTCCTAAGGCAAGAGCCAGTTTTGAACTCCAAGTCTCAGGACCCAGAGTTGTCCAAACCAGGAGAATAATTTGCAAATGAATGAGCCAGAGCCTGATACATTTCCATTGTGAAGAAGGATTTTTATGTCATTACACAGAAATGTAATGGTTAAACCTGGGTATTTTAAATTAAATGCAAAACATGTGGCATTTGAAATTTTTTAAAAAACCAAACTTACTGATAATCACTAGTGTTACGTATGAAAGAGTATTTCACACATGGTGATAATTATTCAATATAAATATAAGCAGAGTACCTAATTTAATAATGTTAAGAATATTAGCTCTGGGTACTTAGATATGACTTCTTAAAAGAATGCTAGAGATGTAAGCAAAATTCCAGTGATTTGCATGCCCTACAGTCCTTAATCAAAAATGTTGGGACTAGATATTGGCATCCATGTCCCCTGCCCACCACCCCTCTTCTATGTAGTCTATATCTCGGGGGCTAGGGGAGTAAGGAACTGCATTTCTCATACTCCCTTTAGAAAGGGTCCTGGTGGCCAGGCACAGTGGCTCCGGCTCACGCCTGTAATCCCAGCACTTTGGGAGGCTAAGGCGAGTGATCGAGGTCAGGAGAGGTCAGGAGATCGAGACCATTACGGCTAACATGGTGAAACCCCCTCTCTACTAAAAATAAAAAACATTAGCCGGGCGAGGTGGCGGGCGCCTGTAGTCCCAGCTACTCAGGAGGCTGAGGCAGGAGAATGGCGTGAATCCGGGAGGCGGAGCTTGCAGTGAGCTGAGATCAGGCCACTGCACTCCAGCCTGGGTGACAAAACAAGACTCCGTCTCAGTAATAATAATAATAATAATAATAATAATAATAATAATAATAGAAAGCGTTCTGGAAATGATTTAGGTTTTGCCAATTAAATGCACTTGAATGAGATCTGGAAGGCAGAAAAGAGGTAGTGGCCATCTTCCTGCAGTGATGGCAGACAAGGAGGCTTTGACAAAAATGAACAGTCAGATTAGCACATGTCTGGGTGTGTTTCACTTTGTCTTACTTAAGGGTTGACAAACTAGGGCCTGCAGGCCAGGTCTGACCCACAGCCTGTTTTTTTTGTAAATAAAATTTTGGTGAAACACAGCCACTTCCACTTGTTTACGTACTGCCAAGGCTGCTTTTGTACTATATGGCAGAGTTGAGTGGTTGCAACAGAATCTGTATGGTTACAAAGCCTAAAATACTGACTCTGTGGTCCTTTAGAGAAAATGTTTGCTGACGCTGCTCTACTGTGCTGCCCTCAGCAGCAGCGATGACAGCAGAAGCAGAAATACTGATCTTGAAATTACAAGTCCAGTGTTGCCCCTCAACTTCTGTTCCTGCTGCCCTTTCTAATGATTTTACAAGCATCTAATTTCTCACAGTAAATTCCTTTCTGCTTGAAATACCTAGAGGGACTGCTATTGCAACTAGTGACTGATAGTTCTTTCCCTTCCTTTCACATGAAGACTGAACTTGGCAACAATGTGTGGCTAAAAAGAGGCCAAAAATCAAAAAGCACAAAGTTTTAATCCTATTAGCACAAGACAAATATCACAGAGCAACTTTCCTAGGAAAATATGTAACATATCTGACTCTCATCACCCAATTAGCTCTTTAGAAATTCTATCTAGCCTTTAGGAATTGTCTACTGAGAGGCCAGCCTGATTAGAAAGTTAGAGTAGAAGCTAAAATAACATCAGAACAAACCATTTCTGAGATTGTTTGGATTATCTCCAGGGAAGATACAGCAAAATTTATAAGGTTCAATATTTTAAGAGAAAATAATGATGATATTAACCTTTATGTCTATATGATGAGTTTCCACTGGACACAAGAGTTTTTGCATCCCACTTCTTGCCTGACCAATTGTCCAGTAGCCCATGAACGTCTGTTCTGGCAGAGGCAACCTGTTAAGGATGATTTGCAAAGTAAATATTTCTTATTGTATCCAAGTCATAGAAAAAAATAACAAGCCATCTATTACCAACCACACAAACAAATTTGAAGAACGCTTTACTTAGAAGTGAGTTATACTTCATTTCATTAAAAGACAGTGTATATAAAATCATGTTTAAAATATACTTTAAGACAAAAAAGATCCCACATTTCAGAAACTCAGAAAGTAAGGCAAGGTCCTGTTTTTACCTCAATGACAAATATAATTGATTTACATACATACTCCTTTGAATTGCAGTAATTTAACATCTGCATTTCTGGTAGAGTATAGGAAAACTTTTTTAAAAAATTGGAGCAATCTATCAATTTTTTCAGTCTATTCTTTTTTTTAAGACGGAGTTTCACTCTTGTTGCCAGGCAGGAGTGCAATTCTGCGATATAGGCTCACTGCAACCTCCGCCTCCTGGGTTCAAGCAATTCTTTTGTTTTAGCCTTCCTGAGTAGCTGGGATTACAGGCATGTGCCACCACGCCTGGCTAATTTTGTATTTTTAGTAGAGGTGGGGTTTCTCCATGTTGGTCAGGCTGGTCTTGACCTCAGGTGATCTGCCTGCCTTGGCCTCCCAAAGTGCTGGGATTACAGGCATGAGCCACCGTGCCCAGTTATTCTTTTAAATTTGGAATCAAATAATAAAGAGTACACGATACTACTAGTCCCACTTTGTATGTTGTATACGGCAAGTTTCATAGACTTTATTTGGGCATCTTAATTTTTTTACCTTGAATGAAAACATAAAGTACATACTAAAATGTCCAGATAAATATGTCAGCTCTGCATGCATGTGTAACCAGTACCCAAACAGGTAGAGCATTACTGGAATCCAGAAGCACCTGTGGGGCCACTTTCAGCACTAACCCACCAAGAAAGCTATATGCTGATTTCTAATGCAATCATTCTGTATTTAGATTCCCTTTTATTTAAAATGACTTTCAAATAAGGTGATTTGCCAAAACCAACATGGCAATACTAAAGTATAAAACAGCAGATAATTTTTTTTAAGTCTTCATTTTTTTTTCTTTGAGACAGGGTCTCACTTTGTCACCCAGGCTGGAGGGCAGTAGTGCAATCACAGCTCACTGCATCCTTGAACTTCTGGACTCATGATCCTCCCACCTCGTCCTCCTGAGTAGCAAGAACTACAGGCATGCAAAACTATACCTGGCTAATTTTTTTATTTTTAATTTTTAGTAGAAGTAGTAGAAGCAGGGTCTTGCTGTGTTGCCCAGGCTGGTCTCAAACTCCTGGACTCAAGTGATCCTCCTGCTTCAGCCTCCAAAAGTGCTGGGATTACAAGTGTGAGCCAAGTCTTCACTTTTTAATCATACTATCTTTTATTTGAGTCTTTAAAATAGGAACCATTGATTTGTCATTTGATGCATTAGAAATTTAGTGATTCAGAGTTAAAAGCTCTCTAAAAATAAAATGCACATGGTTACAAATTGAAATGTATCCTTGGAATGACTTTGATGATCATTAAAAGAACACATGTTTATATTTAGAAATTATTTTATTTACAGTAAAAAAGTAGTCTGATATAATATTTCCATATGCTTAATAAGATCATGTAAGGCTAAGATTTTTTTTGCATAAAATGATGGAAGCAAACATTCTAGTAGAATATGCTTTTCGTCCCTTTTGAATGCTAATGTTTATCACAAGAGGAAAGAAATTAAAAAGAAACTAACATTGAAATTCTTCTAAGTCATATGACATAAATCTCTCAAAAGTACACACACACACTTTTGAATCTATCGTCTAAAATTTATTTTAAGTATCTGGATAATTATCTCAATCGGTGACCCACTTACTCCCATCTTTTTACCAGGAAAGAATGTGTGTGTGCAGGGGGTGAGGAGGAGGGTACTGAATTAGGGGAATAAAGGGGTCTTACAATTACTGTTTTCTTTCTTTTGAATGTAATAAAAATACATTTCTGTGTTAACAGGCCAGATCTTGAAAACATAGACTGGGATCTCTCTTTTAGTTTAGGGAATAAACTCTATTTTACACTTGCTTTCAGCAGTTCACCGAAGGAGAATTGGGGCTCCAAATGTAGAAACAGAAAAATAAAAGAAACAGATACACTTAATACTCTGCCAGCATAGAAGACATAATGTAACAGACTGCAAGAGATTTGGGTTTTAGTTCTAGTTCTTTTATTAACCTGCTATATAAACTTGGGAAGGGGAAAGTCCCTTGTTTTCTCTAAGTATTAATTTCTTTCTTTTTTTGCCTCTTTGACTTTGCTTGATATTAATTTCTTCATTTGTGAAATGAAGGGAATGATCTGTAAAGTTCCTTACAGCTTGGGGAGTCTGTGATGATCAAGGAAGAGAGTAGAGAGAAGTGTCACTGGTAAGTTTTATAGTCTTGCATTGTCTTGATACTCTGAAGTGAAAATAAATGATGAGAATGAAAATATCTACACTTACCAACAGAACAGATCCCCTGACAGATACACATGCTTTATTAAAGCATATAAAAACAAACTCTGGATACATCCCAAATTGGTTCTTTGAAGACAACAGAAACAGTTTCACATCTTGAAATTTAATTTAATTCAGGGGAGAGCATTAATGAAATGATCTTTGGTTGATACCTAGCCTAAAAAATTGATCTAATATATTTTTTCATAAATCTTACAAAACTATCATACAAATGCTTAAAAAAAAAAAACCCTTCATCCATTTGAGAAAAAGTAACTTTGCTCAACTTTCAGATTTTACTGACAATGCCAGGCATGTTCATAAAATCTGGTTTGAACTTGCCAACTCATTCTAAATAACAGTCATGGAAATTATATGTTGCCTGGTTCTATATAAAAATAGCACTGGCTGTTTGGTTGGCAGGGTATGGGAAGGACCTTCAGGTACCCTATATAGAATCTATTCCAGAACCACAAAACATGATGCTATTGGCAGTAATAACTAAACTGAAAGACACATAACACAGGGTGTCCTGGAGTTACACAGTCAAACTGACACCATTCTGTCCCTTGGTAACATGGGGTATTATTGTTTCTGGACTATTACTGTAGGCTCTAGGCTGGCCAAACTGAGGTAAACCCAAGCCCCTCATTTATTTTCTACTACTAAGACCTCCGAATAAGCTGTGGGAAAATTTGACCATTACTAACTTTCTCTCCCTTGGTAAGTTAGTAGTCAGGGGAAAGCGGAAGCATTATATTATATTTCGGTACGTGAGCAAGCTTTGGAATTTGAAACATAATCGACATTCATTTAGGGGAAACTCTAAATAACCAGTTAGCAAAAGCGCCTCTATTCTCTTAGTGAACTATGTCATCCAACTCTGACCAGACTTAAGTTTTAATATCTGATTTGATTAAAATAATAATGGCATTTTCCGTGGCTTTAAGACTTTGTCACTTGTGTTGTTTAACTTTGTTAAAGTCCCAGCTAGAATGATGTGTGAATTTGATTTCATGGGGAAGGAGGAGGAACTTAAGGCCCATAAATAGCACTGCTTTTTATCTTCAATGTCATTCATGAATTTATGTTTTTTTAAAACAGTGAAGTATTTTAGTTCCTATGTTTGGTGTTTCTTAATCCCTTGTGGAAATGATAATAAGGATCTGGGAGTAAAAGTTTGGACTAAAAGAAAGGTGAGTATCGCAATTATGACTCAGGTCAAATTATAGTATTTGAGCAAGTTACAGAAAGAACAAAAAAGGTTTTCTTTTTTTTTTTAAACACACATACAATTCATAACATGATGCATATGGACACCAAAGTCAAGTACTATAGTCTGAATGACATGCAAGAGATGTGTCTAAGATTGCTTCCATAAATTGGTGAGCTGGGTTTTAAAGAGTATGTTCTGGCAAATTTCTGCCTTCTCTGAACATTTGCCAACACTATTTTTGGAATATGAAAGAAAACACATGAAAAAGATCTGAATCTTTCTAGGGGCATTATGCAATTGGAAGTTGTTGACATACCTATTATCAACAATTCCTAAAACATTTTCTTACCACAAGAACTACTAATTTTCATGGGAATAACGGAACCCTTCAGGGCTGTTCCACCAACTTTCAAAAATTCAACAATTACTACCATCTTTGAGAAGAAAAATAACAACTCCAATTTTAGCAGGCCTCACTCATTCCTGATGTTTTAAATCCAACTTCTGGCAAAAATTAAGTTGGGTTGTCCAACAAAGTTCACTGGAGCCTTTCATGGAATAGCCCTGACTAATAATTCTGGCTTTGTGCTTATCCCTTCCTCTCAGTCTCAACTACCTCAAACTCTTACTTGCTATTCCTGAACATGCTATGCATTTTCATGCTTTCAGGAGGCCATTACCTCCACTTAGAATTCCTTTCTGCTCCAGCCTCCTTGGTGAAATCCTTCTTATTCCCAAGTGCCAATTCAAATGTTACTCCCACTTGCATTACTCCCCACTCCTCTATATTCCTTGCTGGGAAAAATGAATTCCTTACACTTCTAGGTTTCCACATAAATTTATACATACAAAACTCCTAGAAACTCTTAGAATAAAGTTCTATAGAATCTGTAATTTTCACATTAAAGACCTGAGAGAGAAAAAAATTTAGAGAGCAGGTCAGAACTAAGAAATCCCTTAAAATATTTTCATATATACTAAAAGAAAAAGCCAGCACATTAAAGAGAGATAATACAAATGCCCCTTTACATACTTTAGTAACAATGGATACCATTATTCATTCCCAGTAATATGTTCCCTTATTTGCTAGAAACTTCAGAATGCCACTTCCCTACCGTCTCACAGGATGTTGGTAAGTTAATTTTGCTTTGCTACAAATGATGTATATGTGAGTATTTGTACATGTTTTCCCTTTCTGTGCTTGGTTCTGCATTTAGAAATTAGGGCTTCTACTTCATAACTTAGACTTGTATACCTCTGCCACCTAGGTCCAGAAGAGATCATAGAAATGCAGAGTAATCTAGATTTA